ATGGTTATTTAAGGCCTTCTCCTGTCTTCTGTTTCTTGGCTATTTTATTGCTCTTTAGTACCACCATGAAAAGGGTAAGCGGAAGTGAAATTTGTTTATTTTGCTTCTACTTAGAAAAGCAAGGGAAAACATTAGTGAAAGAAAAAACAAAAAATTAGGGTACAAAATTTTTATTAAGCTAGAATTACTTTTTAAATGAATTTTTATTGGTCTAAAATTATTTTCTAATTTCTGCACTTGTGAAACATTCAAATTATGGAAATATTGATAAAAAAAATAGAGACCCCTTTACTCTGTCTCTCAGGAGCAGCACTGCTAATAGTTTGATGAATCACTTTCTGGATTTTTAAATTTACCTATAAATCTGCAACTAAAATATTTTAAAACAAAAATGGAATCGTACCGTTCACTTTTAAAAAACTTTTTTCCCAAAGTTTACTTATTCTGTGAGTGGAAGTGAGAGAGATTCAACATCCCCAACAGAATCTTGAAGTTATCATCCATCCCGAGCTCCAGCCAGCCAGGATCATGGCACATGACATTCTCAGGGAGGTCTTAGACTCCAACTGGCAACCTTTCCATGTGCATCTGCCTTGCAGAGGGTCATATTTTACCACCGTGCTACCATCAGGTCCCCACATTTGTATTGTTACACATAGTGCCTGCAAACTTGCCTTCCTCCTTATCCCCCTTTCCAGCTGACTATATCATGAACACTCTTAGAACTATTTTTCCAAGGAAATATCATTGCACTATACAGAGAAGATTGCTGCAGAAATAGATACTACTTTGAGTCAAGAAAACCATCAATACTGGCTCAAATTCACCTCCTCTGGAAGCCTTTTCTGATTCACTCTATCTTGTTTTATTTCAGTGTTCTCCTCTGAATCACCCAGTATTTCTTTCTTTATTCATAATAGAGTGTATGCACATATGTGGAGCTGAGAGAGAGAAAGAAAAACCCTTTATAGGGTGTGGTCACACTGCAATCTCCCTCTTTCAGTTTTCCAGCCTATCAGATCTTAGACACTTGCAGGTGTCTGGCATACACCAGGCCAGCAGCCAGGGTTCAATCTGCCATGTGGCATTATTGCTCTGTCACAGATCCAGCTCGGTCTGGTATTTTTTCCATGTTGTTTCCAGTTGATACTTGGTCTTGCTCATAAGCACTCTGTCTTGCAAACCTTTCTCTTACAAAGAAATAAGACACCCTCTTCAGTAAGGATACATGTGGACCTGAAAGTTCAACAATGGAGGCAGCTTTAGAGACTGATCTTGGTGTATTTGCTTCTCCCTGTGGAGCTGTTCTGGTCTTTTCACTTTCTGGATCAGCTTCCTTACTCTAGCAACTCTTTGATTTCCTTGTGTTCATTCATTCATTCATCAGGCAGTTACTGAGAATCAACAACATGCCAGGTGGTTCTAACACATACAGTTTAGCTTACTCTAGTTCTGACTGGAAATCAGAGCCTTTTTTAGTTCTATTTATCAAATTCTCCCCACATCTCATAGTTCAAATTCCTGAGAGTAAGAATCTGATTGGCCCCATTATGCCAGGCCATGCGTAGATTGCTGGCTAGTCAATGGTGCCCCTTCATCCAGGCAGATGTGGCTGGAGAAGGAGGATGGAAGACTGCGGGCAGGATAGCCCTTCCCAGCCTGCCCAGTACTCTCCATGAACATTTTTAGGCCTTATCCAAGCCTTTGTGTCATCTCCCTAATTAAAATGTAGGTTAACAGGGACTGCTATGAGTCTGCACTCAGTAAGTGTTCAATGAACGATGCTAACACAGTCATTTCTTTACATGGAGTTGAGCTCACGGTGGGCAGAGGGGCAGATACATAGCCTCGTCCCGACTCAGAGACAGCACAGCCAGTGATCAGCACATTCCATGCAGCAGGGAACAGCAGGTCGTGTCCCATGAATGCTGATGCTCTTGGTGTTACCTCTGAAGGTAAAGGTGAAGGGAGATTATGAGCCAGAGAAAAAAATTATAAGGAGAGAAATATAATGTTGGTGTCAGTCTTAAATTCCCATAAATGGAAATAAAAAATTGGATATTCTACGATATGTAAAATGATAAGACTGGCCCTGTAGCCTAGTGATTAACAGAGGCAGATCCCCCATGCTGACAAAAGTTTGAATCCTTGCCCTGGCTGCTTAAAAAACAAGCCATATACATGTGTTTACATGCGTGAAGTCCCAACAAGATGGGTAAATAGAGAAGAAGGGATTGTGGTGTGACCACACCCAATGACCACATCCTCTCCTCTTTCCATTCTCTCTGGAGGGTTCACACATCCTCTGGCGATTAAAACATTAATAAAATTATAGACCTGGGAGAGACATTTCTTTTCTTTGGAGCCAGGCTATCTTTATTGAGTAACTCTTCAAATGCTCTGGTTGTAATTTGTTTGGTACACAAAATGTGCAGAAGAAATTAAAATACAACATAGTACTGCTGACTCAAAACAGAGGCTTAGGAGCTTAAAATGTAATTTGTACTTAGTGTTATTTACATAGAAATATTCATCAGAGGGACCAGCAGTTAGTGTAATGGCTATGTTGCTGGACTCCCATGTAGTCGACCACGGCTCAAGTCCTGGACCTAGTGACTTAATCTCACGCCAGGCACGTGTGCATGCGTGCCCAAGATCCCGAGAGGAGAATTGGAGGAGAAGGCATTGTGGCGTGGTCATCCCCCGTGGGGGGTGATTTCTCACTTTCTGTCTCTCCCTGTCTTTCTGGTGCGCGCATGCACCCTATAGCAGAAACCTCTCAAAAAAAAAAAAAAAAAAAAAAAAAAGGAAAAAAAAAAAAGAAAGAAAGAAATGTTCATCAGAGAAGATACAGAGAATTGACGTGGATCATACTATTTTAGAAATAGTTAACAATAGAACTGCTGCTGTTACAGGTTTCTACCCATCCTTTCATATTCTCTTTTAAAAAAATACATTATTTATTTAATTTATTATTATTATTTAAGTTTGCTATAAAAATACGTGCTCACCAGAGAAAGAGAGAAAGAGAGGGAAAGTGAGAAAGCAAGCCACCAGGTCTGGGATTTGAACCGTAGTCAGCCATGTGGGAGTCCAGTGCCTTAACCATCATACTGGTCCCTGCTTTCATATTCTTGTCATTTTTTTTTTTTTCTCTTAAGAGAGACTTTTGCTGTAGGGCACATGCACTCACCAGAGATACAGAAAGACAGAAAGTGAGAAATCATTCCCCAGGGGAGTTGACCATGCCACAATCCCTTCTCCTCCATTCTCCTCTTGGAATTTTGAGCATGCACACACATGTGCCCAGTGTGAGTTTTAAGCTGCCGGGTCTGGGACTCGAACAATAGTCGCCTTTGTGAGAATCTAGCCACATAACCATTATGTCATCTGCTGGTCCTTCTTGTCACTTCTTTCCAGGTCTCCTCTTTGACTTGAGAGGGCTTGTGCTGCTCTTCAGTGGAGTCTAAATTCAAATTCAAGTAGCCTAACTACAAGGACCACTGACTAGTCATCCAGCAGCAGGGAAGAGGAAACATTGCTCCTCAGACCCTGTGCCAGAACCTGGTCCATTCTGAGGGTGGGCAGCGAGGGCCGCCTCCACCAAGGGCCTAGGAGAGAGAAGCCTAGAGAGGGAGCGGGTAGCATGATTTGAGAGCAGACACAGGGAAGCTGCATGCAGAAATGAGACTAGGAGGGATGTGAGCCGAGGCTGACACAGGCCCTCTTTTCTCTCATCCCTGCTCTAATTGTATCAGCTGAGGCTCTCACCTCTTCCTGGGGTTCTCTGTGGCTCCCAGCTGGCCTCCCTGCCTCCAGGTAGCACCATCTCTGTCCTTCGTCCACATCAGCACAGAGTCTCCATTCCAAATGACCAAGCTACTCCACTGTTCAGAAACTATTGCTTTCCACAGCCTGCAACTACCCTACAATCCTTCATGGAACATTTACATTCTGACCCCAACCGATTTTTCTAGTATCACCTCCCCTTGGTCATTGCTAAAATGTCACCAACACCCCAGTGCCTCCCATTCACCTATTGTTTTCATTCATAAGAGTGTGTACACAAGTTAGCAAGAAAAAAAGGGAGAGAAAACTTCCATAGGGGTCGGTCATGCCACATATTTCCCTCCGGTTCTCCAGACTACCAGGAGCCTGGCATGCTCACCCCTGGCCTGTTTGTCAGGCCAATCTCAGTGGGCTGTCCACTCTATAGGCTGGTATGTTCCCTAGTGCTCCACGAAGGCGAGCCTCCCTGTTCATCCTACTTGTGCTTATCTTCCACTCCTTTTCCTCCAGCCCGAAGTTGAAGCTCTCCTGGGTGTTACCATAGCATTTAGTTTGTACTTCGGACCTCAGTTCTTTGTGGTTCACAGGTTTGTTTCCTCTGTTGAAATGAGATCATTTTCAGAACAGTAACCTTTGCCATTCATTCATCTTCACACCCTAACACCCAGTAACATGGTGATTGTAGGTGTCAAATATATTTTTTGAAGGCAGAATATTCATGAAGACAATTGTCTTTTAAATATTTGATATGCTTTTGGACTAGATATAAATAGCTACTAGGGTGTTCATCCCGATAAAAGGTTTTTAAAGTTGCCCTTTTAGTTTCCGGACCAGCAAAATAAAAATAACGTTAATCTGTATTCTATGACAATTCGTGTACAATAATGAGTATCTTAGGTATCAGGAGGAATCTTGGTTAGGAACTTGACAAAGTGAATCCAAATTCTCTTTTCAAGCACTTTGAAGAAAAAGGAGGGGTATTTTCCAAGATGAAGATTTAAGACTTAAAAGTAGGGCATTGGATTACATTTATTCTTCCCCTTTAAGATTGTTATTTCAACAGTTCTAGTTAACAAGGGTTGAATTTTACATAATTTACATAATTTTTTGTGCTAAAATTAGCAATAAACATTATATTCTTAAAAACTGTGTTTACCCAAGGCATGATTTAAAGCCTCTGGACCTCTGATCATGGGTGTGCACCTCCACTTAGTGATCACTTCCACAACAGCCCTGTTTCTTTAAGAGACAACAGTTGTTAAGTTAGAAGACCATTGGACCATGCGAGGGTCAATAAAAGAATAAAAGTCAGTGGTTAGTGATCCGAGTACAAGGACCTCGATCCCTGCTCAGTCCCTGTGTCCATATGCGGCTCACAGTCAGAGGAGGACCAGCGGATTCTCCGCAGCCGGCACGTCCTCAGAATGGCTTCTGGAAGGCTCATCAAGCTCGTGATTTTCGAGCTGCTTCAGTTCGCAGCCTTCTCCGTTCCCACCCTGGTAATCATGGAGCAGTTCGCCACTGCCTACCACACGGCAAGGAGAATGACTGAGAGAACACATTACTGGCTCATCGTGGCCTCTTCTATTGCCTACGTGGCTTCCGTCACTCTGTTGATTTGGGTTCCCGTAAAAATTCTCTTATACAAGAAACGTCATCTGTACAAAAAGATTATAGGGTGGTAAGTAAAATCATTTTTTTTTTTTAAGTAAATGATTTCTTTAGCAGGGAATTTCTGTGACGTGTTCAGGGCTGTTTCCTGGCGTACTGTATGGAAGGACGTGGGCGTAGGGTAGGTGAATGTAATGTGAGAGTAATGGAAAGTTACAGTCACTTTTGAACATGCATTGGTGTTATGGTGCTGTCTATACTTTTTTCTGATGTTGATTATACTGAGTGATCATAACGAGTTACATGCGTGAATAGGATGGGAATGAACACAAGTTCCTGGTACCATAGATGGTTCTTGCTGAACTAATTCACCTGAACACTAAGCCACATGAAGGGATCAGAGTTAACCTACACCAATGGTCATCACAAGATTATAATATACAATTTTACATCTGTGTTAAAATGGAACTAATGACTTTTAAAATGTTTATATTACATTTTGTAGATCTAAGGCATACGTTGATCATTAACCAACTGAGATATTTTAAACAACGGGTTACTTAGATTTAAAAAGAAATAATATTGGGTTGCTGGGTTTTCTATGTAAAAACACATTTACACATTTTTAGATAGGAAAATATGCCATGACTTTTCTGACAGCTGAGTAGTTCACTATGTTGGTAAATTTTATTACCCTTGTGGGAAAAAGAACTTTAGTAACAAAACAGAAATATTTTAAATAAATAGATAAATCAAGATTTAATGTAGATTTTACTAGCGCTTTGGCTAATGACTGTACTGATGCACAGAAAGGGATTGAGAACATGCAATCTCTGGACTAATATCGTTTTCCCTTTACATCTTCAGATCTGATTCTTACTCATCTGAGACTTCTTTTCTTTGATAAACTAAGTGTTCTTTCGTACTGATCCTTTAAAGTTGAACAGCATGGAACAGTCTTGAAAAGTGAGAAGCTGGGAATTTTAATATTAGCAAGAGCATATTAGGGGACTTCAAAAAGTTTATGAAAAGTAGAATTAAAGATGAGTTTATTTTGGTACAAATTTTGTTTTCAACTCCATATAATTTTTTCATAATATACATTTCCATGAGCTGTTTGAAGACCCTGTGTATAGCTGGTATACCTCTGGGAGTATGCTGAAAGGGAGAACTGAAGTGTGGAGTTCTCAAATATATACTCTTCAGGCATGTACCGGCTGTGGCCCCAGGAACTTACCAGGGGACTTTTACTTTCTAGAAGACCTCTTTTTTTTTTTTTTTTTTTTTTTGAGAGTTTGTTGTTGTTGTTGTTATAGGGTACATATGTTTGCCAGAAAGAGAGGGACAGAGAGACAGAAAGCGAGAAATCCCCCCCCAGGGGGGATGGCCACGCCGCAATCCCTTCTCCTCCATTCTCCTCTTGGGATCTTGGGCACACACGCACACATGCCCAGTGTGAGTTTAAGCCGCTGGGTCTGGGACTCAAACTGTGGTTGACTACATGGGAGTCCAGTGACATAGCCTTTATACCAACTGCTGGTCCAGGACTCTTAAGAGATTTCTGGAAAAAAAAAAAAGATTGTTGTTGTCTTTTATCTTTTGGATGTACGGACTTTCCAAATCTTGACTAGAGCCGCAGGGTCACCGATGTAATAGCTCAGAGCAGGGCTGGGCCCTCTACCTTTCACAGTGACCTAGGACTTGCTGTCATTGTCCAAGACTGGGCCAGGAAAATTTGAGAGTGGGAGACCCTAAGAACAACAGGAGTAAACCAGTGGGAAACTGGCCAATGACAGCCCAGAAAAGAGCTCTTAAACTTTTTTTTTTAATTTTATTTTTTTTCCAAATTGCCTTGAATTCCTAGGACTCTAGATCTGAATGTCATTCAGTGAGCAAATCTTTCCATGTCGCTCATTCATTATTATTATAATTATTAAACTATAATTGCTTTTTTAAACTTTAAAAAAAATAATAATCATTATTGTTATTTTTAAAAAATTTGACCAGAGAGAGACAGAAAGGGAAAGTGAGAAGGCAAACCTCCAGGTCTAGAACTCGAACTATGGTCAGCTATGTGGGAATCCAGTGCCCTAACAACCATGCCATCTGCCGGCTCCTATTCTTGCTTTTTTATAAATTACTTATTATGTGTCAAGAGCTTTATATATAAATTTCGTTTTATTCTATACCATTGCATGTATGTCCTAGTGTGAAGAGGCATAGAAATATCTACTTTCCAAAGTCTTCATGAGTTTATTATTATTATTCCCAAGAGGAAACAAATGATTAGTGGGAAAGCATTTTCTCAGTCAGTTATCTAGTGAGTGGACGAGCCAGCCTCTGGCCCTGCATATGTCTGACTCCTTAACTGGTATTTCTAACCACTACCCTAAACTGCCTCTTTGAAGGAGGCAGTCCCAATCTCCTAGGGCAATTGAGGTTAAGGAAGAGAGGAGTCTTTCTTTCATTTCTACTCCTGAGTGTATGTGGCACCCTGGTCACCTCTGGTGTCTGATCAGATTGCATTTTGTAGATGTGGTGCAGGGAAATCTTCCTGTGCTAACATCTCTTGGGTGGTCTCAACAATTACATCTATTACTGATTTCTTTTGGGAAATACTCTTCCAATCTTTAGTTTCTGTCTGTGGGTGTGGCGGGCCATAGAGTGATTAAATTGCTTAGATAGATGACAGATTATCTAGCATTTCAGTGAAACTGTGATACTATTTCCTCATAGCTTCATTTATGAGCCTGCCATCTAGTTGTCTTATACTGACATAGCAGTAAAGGAACAGCTACGGAGCATGATTCTAGGGGCTTTGCACATTCTATGTTATTAAATTCAAACTTTGGAGCTACACCTAGTGAAGGTTACCTGCTAATGTTCTCATTTTATAGATGAAGAAACTGAAAGATGTGATTAACTTAGTCTAGTGATAAAGCTAGTGAGGAGTGGCTCTGAGGTTTGTGAAACCAGATCGGTCTGATTCTAAGCTATTTCCTTCATCTCATGCAACTTTTCCTTTATTCTTTCTAACTCAGATTGGAATTGTATTTCAAGAACTCGTTTAGTGTTATTAAGGTACATTTCCCCCCAAAGATGTGTCTTGCGATATTACATACAATTCCCAAAGATGCATATTTGGATATTATCGTTTATGTGATAATATATGGGTGTCATATCTTAATTGCAAAGTGAAGATGATGCAAAATAATTGCTACCATAGAAAGTAGGGATTGAAAGTATGATTTTTTTGAAGAATAATTAAATAGTTTATGTGACGTGTACATCTTTAACGTTCACAGGTTTAATGTGAATGAGATGAAGAACCTCCTTAAAGATTCACATGGGTGGTTTTAAAAAATTATTGATTTATTTCTTCTGAGAAAGTGAGAGAGAGAGAGAGACAGGCACTCCTAACAGAATCCTCATGCTGCAATCCATCCCCAGGGTCAACCAACCAAGATTCAGGCATGTTGTATGCATGCTCAGTGTGTAGAGGAGGACCTTTGAGTACAACCCAGGAAGTGTTATATGGCCTCGGCATTGCAGGCTGTTTACCGTGGCACCACCACAGCCACCCCCCATTGGCATCTTGAGTCTGTAAAGCTGGTCTTAAGGTGAGAGCGAATTATCGGTGAAGGATGTGTCCTGGGGATACAGCTAGGGGGAAACAGACCTGGGTTCAAATCTCAGCTGTGACATTGTCTTTGAGACCTTGTGTGAGTTATTTAGACTCTTTGAACTTTGATCATCTCAGGAGCCAGTTTCCTCCTGGAAGTGTTGCTCTAAGAAGTAGCATAAGGTAATGCATAAAAGTTCCTAGCATAGTGCCTGTCACATAATAAACACTCGGTGACTATTATTATTGTCACCTCAGGCTGAGGTGAAATCATGTTGTTACATGATTTCATCTACTCCTCAGAATGACTCTGAGAATGGGTAGAAGTGATGGTAAAACTGAAAAAAAAAGAGATGCCATCAGTGATACTTCTTGAATTTGGAACATCTTGTAGGTTATCTCCCGAGACTAATGAGAGCCAATAGAGTGATATTGTAAGGTTTGTATAAAAGAATGTTGGATTTATGCAGTGCTGTTAAGTTTTATTTTCTCACTTGACCTGCACTCTAGTGCTGTAACATTGACTAAGAGGATGCGATTCCCATTGTATAAGGGAGGAAACAATTTTAGAGAGCTTAAGACGTACATCAATTGACAGAACAGTCTGAACTTTAATCCAGTGCTCGTGTTAAACACTTCCTCATTCCTTTAGAATTGTTTCATTTTAGGAATGCCTGTCATAATTCTTAGTAGACTAGGGAGATGCTTTGGAGGAATAAGGATAAGCAATTTACACATATGCCAAACTGTATATTCCAATAAACAAGAGAAAGCCTTTCCTGGAATATCAGTCAGGGTGTGAAACCACTGAGCTACAAGGCTAGCCTGAAACAGGAACTTATCTCCATAGAGAAGGCACATTGGGAGCAGGACAAGCCTTCAGGATTCCTGGGGATTCTCTGGCTATCTTGTGACCCAGAGCTGTATTTCAGGAGTTCTTCTGAATCCTTCCAAGTGTATTTCATTCCATGACATGTCAGGAATCCTGGGTGGTTGCCAAGTTTGAAGACCTCAACACTCTGAGCTACATGCTTGATTACATGCTTTAAAGTTCCTGGAAATTGTCTAAGCACAGAATGAGGAAATCCTCGGGAACCAGCAGTTAGCGTAGTGGCTATGTTGCTGGACTCCCACGTAGTCAATTGCGGTTTGCATCCTGGACCCGGTGGCTTAAAACTCACGCCAGGCGAGTGTGCGTGCGTGCCCAAGATTCCGAGAGGAGAAGGGATTACGGTATGACCATCCCACCTGGGGGGTGATTTCTCACTTTCTGTCTCTATGTGTCTCTCTCTCTGTCTGGCGAGCGCACGTGCCCTATAGCGAAAAAACCTCTCCAAAAAAAAAAAAAAAGAATGGGAAAATCCTACGCCAAGAGCAAGTTTTTCCAGGAGTTGTAGTCAAGCATACTCTGTTATCACACATTGCAATTGAAGTCAATGATATTGTGC